AATTCCTTTGTTAAAGTCTTCACTGGTTCTGTTTGTCTGTAATATTGCAGGAGGAGAATGGCATCTGTGATGTTACAGTGTAATGACCTTCCCACTGCGTTCTATATTAAAGAAAGTTATATTTGTTTTCTTCTCCTTAAACTTCTTTGTTTATTTCTTTTCACCCTGTAGCTGTCCTACTGAGCTACTTCAGCTTTTCAGACTACCTTGCAGACCCTTTTCCCTTACTTTCACTTGCCTTCTCAGGGATTCGTTCATCTGGTTATGAAGTAGTTTTCTCTTTCTAGTGTTCATTTACTGCCTTGACTCTGACCTGCTTTCTCTTTGAATAGTTTTTTCCACTCCTGGAAATAGAGAAAAAGGTGGGAGGAAGCTATTACAATAACTGTTATAAAATGGTGTGGAATTTAAATGATATTATAATGGCATGTACAGGGGGATGTGTCAGAGATTGTCATAGAGCTGATGATCTTTCGAACCTTGGGAGGGAGGGATTGTAGCTGATATGTGCAAGGAACTTTTGAAGACTAAAAGTGACAACTGAATAGACCCTGAAGAGGAGATCAGAATAAGAAGGAACTTTGTTAGATAGGAAGGCCAGTTTTAAGGTGATGAGGCAAAAAGGCTTTGGCAGTCCCACACCTAACCGGCTATCCAAGAGAGCCCCTCAATGGGATGAAGGCTGTACTTGAACCTTGGTTTTACGCTGCGTTGCCAGGTGCTGTCTGTTTGTTAGAATTGCCCAAGAGAGAGGAGGGTACATGATCATAATAATAAGGTTTTATTATCTTTGATAGTGACCAGTGATCCCTGTGATAGTGCTGTGTGAAGGAAAAGGTCTTGTACTTATGAGTTTTTCCTCTCTTCAAGTGGCTTGTACTCCTCCTGCTTCCTCGGGTCAACTTCTGACATTTTATGAGCTACCCTGAGAATCTGTTCAAGTTCCTGAACAAATGGAAAGTAATCCTGTCCCATTCCAGTTTCCTGTCGCCAGTCCTTCCTCAGTTCCTTGCCCTGCCTATCTGCCTTGCTCTCTGCCTCCTCTGCCCCCACCATGTTGGAGTACATAGACTCTGTGTAGACTCTCTGGTATCACAAGAGAAAAGAGTGAGGAAGAGTGGGATAGTGGGAGTAAAAAAGGGATGACCTGTGTTTGTAAGACATTAGGTAATCGTTGCTTTACGGTAGATAAATTATTTGGTATTGTCCAACACAGGTAGAGCAAAAGGTGTGAAACTGTTTAACAACTCTACTCATGAAACACACTTCTCTAGTTCTTGAGGTGCCAGATATCTCATTGCTGAATGGCTGACATCTCTCAACAATAGAAATGCTAATTCTCTCTGAATAGTAAACTGATATTTATGGCTGAGACTCAAGCCTCCCGCTTAATTCCCTCAAAGTTGTTTCTTTTTTGCTCTCAATTCTTACACAAAATAACTTTCTTGATCTTGGAAACAGACTGAGATTGCTATCAGTGCAAATCTCTAAGTGTAAGCTCTGTCCTAGTGTTTTTGAATGAATGCAAGGTATTGAATGTCTTCTGGGGTGCTTTGCATGATGGTTATTTTAGACAGAACAGTCTAGACAGTTGTTAGTATCTGTTGCACATCTCTATACCTGCCAAAATTTGGGAGGGAGTTTTGTTCAAGTTACACTGCTGTTCCTCAGAAGGATTTTCACAATATGAATAACACTAACTAGACTAGTCTCTCTCTCACTCGCTCTCCCTCCCAAAAAAATCACTCCTACTAGTGTTGTAAAACCTGACTAACATTCTGCAATTGCTGTTTCTGTTTTCACCTTTCCTTGTTCTCTAGCAATTATGTAAGTAGGAAGGACCTTCTTTCATGCATGGTTTTGATGTATGTGCAAGAAATAATATAAATGCACATACAGTTGAGCCAAATGCTTTTTAAACACACTGAGCATAAAATGAATAGTTAAACTTTCAGAAGGGCTCTTCAGTGGGCTCTCCAATGTCAGTCTTAATTGTATTTTTTTTGGAAATAGAGAAAACTACTTTCTTGCTTGACCCTGCTAATATTGCACTGTTGAAAATGACCTATCATGTAAGAAAGTGTCTCTGTAAGTAATGCAGACTTGCTTTTTATAGTCTTTAATTCATCTAAGTTTCTCAGAAATACCCAGACAGTGCTAATGGGCAATACCAAGTCTCCATGAGGTTCCGAAGTTCATGAAGAAAATATGTGGAAAGAACATGGATGTTTGGAAGAAGGAAAAAATGAGCAATTCATTTAGATTACTAGTGACATTTGAATGCTGACTTTTAAAACTTTACTTAAATATTATTTAAATTTCTTGAACTGGATTATGAGTGCTTTTTCCTCCCTTCTCCCTTCCTGCTTTCAAGTTTCATTTGCATATGATATTTAAACACTTCATTCATACGATGGAAAGTTAAACAATAGGCTATAAACATGGTTGCAATCTCAATTAAAATGTGTAACATTTTACCATATGTTTCTTAGTAAACATAATAGCACTAATGTTAGTAAGCTCATCTTAAACCATCAGTGAACCTGAGTTTGTGGGTCTATCTTCACTTCCTGCTTTGCATAGTTTTGGTCACTTTAATAAATGTCTAGCTGAGCAGCTGTACCACTATGTTGGCTGTTTTGAGGCAACATTTGTGCAATTTTGTAATATTTTGTGTTGTGAAATATAGTCCTATAGTGTCAGTCTTGCTTTTAAGGACTCTTATTTTAAAAAAGTATTTTAGAGGTAGCTCTTCAAGTCGTAATAGGCCTGCAAGCATGAATTAAAAAAGCACAGGCAGGCTGAAAGCCATAGTTGTATTTCTGCAGGACAATATATACATTTCAGTCTCTGTGTTTTAACAGGGAATGAGGTTCTAGAAAGTTGAGACAACACCTAAAGGATAGTAGGCAAAAGCCACACTGCATGAAAAAAACTTTAAAAATAAAAACTACACTGTATGCTGAATGAAGTGTTTTATTTTAGGTGTTTGTGTAACTTGTGATGGAAACTATGGGCTTACAAGGGCAAATGATGGGAAACAGTGGTCTGCAAGGCAGCAATAAAAATTGGGAATGCCAAATATGTGGACTGTGTGTAGCCTTGGTTGAGAATTTGTTTTGAAAAAATAAATTGTTAAACAATGAAGGCCAGATATTTTTTATTATTTTTCCTGGGAAAAGAGTTTGTATAGACTAAGGGAGAATTTGGTGCCTGTGGGAAAAAGAACAGTGGACTCAATTTTCAAAATTTATGCAGCTTTGCCAAGACAGATGGGAAGAAACAAGAGTGCCCCCAAGTAACTGTAACCCTGGGAGACTGCTTATCTTGCATGCAGGTTTTCCCATTCATAATTATCCTTAAAAATCAAACTGTGTGCATCGGTAGCTCTGCATGCGGAGGAGTCAAGTTTACCAAGCCAGATGTTGATTTACTGTAATAATTAAACTTACCCAAGTCATGTAAAGGGGTGTCTGTCCTTATTAACTTATGGGTGAGCATTGGAAAGGCAAGTGATGTGTGTTAAGTCAGCCCATGCCTTTTGGAGTCAGTCATCTGCAGATCTGCTGTGACTGGGCACCGCAAGGTAGCAGTGGCTGCTCATGCCGCTGCTATGAAGTGAATATATTTCATGTGACTCCGAGTCCTCCTTGTGATCTGTGTCAAATGTTTTCTTGGTGGTAGAGTATACTGGGAGTACTTGTTTTCCAGGCTGCCGCTGCAACTTCATGAGTGGAACTGAGTGCTTCTCTTTTGGCTCTCATCTCTTTGTACTTCAGGATGCTGTTTGTGTTTCTCATCTGCTGCGTTTGATATCCTGTCCATCTCAGTGATTTCCTTTTGAAGCAGCATAGTGAATAAACATCCTTTATACAGCTAAATGTTATGTTTTTAATGGAATGGTGAAACAGTGCAGCTATTGTGGATGATACACAGTAGATGTCAAATGTGCAATCTGAATTTTTGCTCAAGTGAACTGTTTTCAATGAACATGGTGTATTTCTCTAAAACAGATCTATTTGGGTCTGTTCCTTTTGCTCTACCCAATATGTTGAAGGGGAGCAGAGCATCAACAGCACTACATCATCTTTAAAATAACACATCCATCCAGATTTTCCTCCCAGATTGTTGCTGCTCACAGGGTCTTTAACAACAGAGGAAATGAGCAGAATACACACGAAAACAGGATTAACACATGAAGTTTAGTTAAGATGAAAACCAGAAACCCTTTCTGTAATCACTGGGGAAAACCTACTGCGGAGAACAGGATTATAGAATCACATTTTAAAGTGGGGATTTGGGGGATGTTGCTGGGACAAAATACTCTAAGCTGTTTTAAAAATACTTCTAGATAGAAAAAATGAATTAGATTTCTTGTTTGTATGTGTTGTTGATCCTTAGCAAGGGGAAGGAATGGCGGCTTCAGGAAGCTGCAGGGTCTCATGAATCAAGGGAATAATGAGATTTGAGCCAAACATCATTTTGATTGCTTTGCCTTTAATTTTTTTCATGTTCCTTCTCATCAGTTATTGCTTTTGTTGCTTCGCTTGTTTAACTAGGCTTTGGACAAGATCTTTGTTCTTGCCTTGACTTGGATTTTTTTTTCTCTTTTGTTTTTGTCAGTCGTTATTTTTTGTTGTTGTTGCTTTGCATGCCCTTCAGGGTTTTGGTTTACCCTGATAGCTGACTCTATGTATGCCCTTTGGTCACTTTGCCTGTTCAGACACCAGAGGCATATTCTTAACTGATGAGGTTGATCCACGAGGAGGAAGGCTGTGCATTGACTTAGGTGGCCCAAAGTTCCACGTAATTTATATGCTCAGTTTCTGTGCCCCTTCTATGCAACAACCTTAGGTGCACTGCCAGATTCTTTCATAATTCCACATTGTGTATTTCATGAACTTGCATTTTCTGCCTTTTATAGGGTGGTGGAGTTTTTTTCTCTCTTTTTGTTTTGTTTGTTTTTGATGTCCCTTTCTTTCTCTTTTGTGTTTTGGTAGGCCTGGATGACTGCCTGCAGCAGTATGTCCACAAATTTGAACGGGAGAAGATTAATGGTGAACAACTCCTACAGATTTCTCACCAGGACCTTGAAGACTTGGGTATCTCACGGATTGGACACCAGGAACTGGTTCTAGAGGCTGTGGACCTCCTGTGTGCACTGGTTAGTTAAGTGGTGATTTGACATGCAAAGAATTTCCTAAAGCGCTCTTTTTGGGTGAATAATCAAGGTGAGACTGATAAAACCAGAATACCTTTGTCCCCTGCTTTCTGTTACACATCACGATAAAAGGAAACAGTAAGAACTTGTTTAATTCTTCTAAGTTTTGTATTAATAGCTCTTTAACTTTTTCCTAATAAGAGGCAACTTTAATTCATTTGGTTGTACTTCCAAAGGTAGAAGCTGTCCAAGTGGCATTGTTAGTCTTGTGGCTCCTGTTAGTGAACAGAGCAATTAAAATAGAGTGAGTTTGTTTTAGAAGATAGAAGGCATATTGTTAAAATGACAGGAGCCAGAAGTTCCTCACATCAGTTGAAATAGGTTTAGGGCAGTTCTGTAGCAAACATATGAAGTGAAGAAAAATTAAGTCTTGGAATGAGGAATGTTTTGGTACCTCAGTTACCGTGTAGTTGAACACTCACTGGATTCAGAACTCAAGCTGTTCCTTTGTCTTACTCCTGATATATCACTGAAGATACTTATAAAACAAATACTCTGTAAAGAATAAATATATTTTGGATTGTTTTGCTAGTTCAGACTTTATTTAAAAGCAATAGTTCGAACACACTCTTGAAGGCATGTTTGGTGTAATGCAGTCAATGAGCAGCAGAGGTATATATAATTACATCAGGGAGAAGGGTGGGAAAGCCTGCCCGGTGATTCCTTGGCCAGCACTGGCTCATCTTCTCTTCATTAGGCAAGGCTTGCTGCACTGAGCATACTCCTCTTAAAGTGGAGAGTCTTTATTACCTGTATGATATGCTTTATTTGCTGCAGAGAGGTGCCATAGGGATCATTCCTACTCTGTGACCAGGAACAAATTGGATAGCCTGTACTGAAAGAAGCATATTTAATGAAATCTCTTCATGCACTCTGCATGTTTTGCGAAGAGTTGCTCTTGTATTTGAAAAACATTTTATTTCCTTTACATATTTGATCTGTCAAAAATTAACACCTAACTAGAAAATCTAATAGAAGAACATGATTAGGCTGAAATGCAGTTTATGGTGTGGGAGGGGATAGTCTGTTGGGCAAGTGAAGGGGTCTGGTGAGTTAGTAAAGTACTGTGGACTGTATACAGTCCTGTCTGAAGTAATCTGTGTGGCAGTCCCTGAAGGCGCTCTTTTCTTTCAAAAATATTAGAATAAAGTGAACAAAGCTGGACAACTGCCAGAATTTAAAGCTGTGTTTTATCTCCTACAATTTCCTTCTAATTTCCTTTGTAGACAAAAGTTTTGACCTCAGACCCATTTCTGGAAATCCTTTGTGAAATGTAGCTCAAGTTAATGCATTAGACAGCTATTGCATACTACAGCTGAAATGTCCTTGTTCCCTTTTTCAGAGGTGGAGAAAGAATTCCGATGTTTTAGGTATGCCCTTTGCCATCTTATTGATGCCCCTTCTCTTAAGTTTTTGGAATTGTATAAAACCACTGTTGATTTTCTTTCCAAGGGGATGCTAAATTCTAGTGACAGCCAGTTTTTTATTTTGCTCTCTCTTGTTTTTGTTGAGAATAAAGGTTTCTGGATTCCACCTGTGTTAGTTCTTTGAAAGTAGGAATGTGTGTAATTTAGTGTATGTGTGAGTACATATCGTGATATTTCCCTGACTTTTGCAGTCTTGAAAGTAAAGGAACTATTTTTGGATTTTATCTTTTTTTCTTTTTTTGTCTCCCAGCACCCCCACTGTGGTATTAGCTCACACTGTGGAAACGTGGCATTGGCTAGACCAGTCTGAGGTCACACTTTCAAAGTTGTTGTTCTTGGCGGAGAAGGGCTGAGAGGGGGTTTTGGTAGTTTCCCAGATGTGGAGTTCTCAAGAAGAATTTCCCTTTTTATCTAGTTTTGCCTTGGCAGTTTTCCAAATGAGTTTCCTTCAGATCAGTGGTTTGGTTCCTTCACAGCACGAGAACACGTGTGGCTCTAAAGGCAGCTAGGTAGCTTATTTGGAACATCTTTCTCCTGCTGAAATCTTTTCAAGCAGTCACCTTACAGACCTCTGTTCCAGCCTCAGTAGATCAGTCACAAAAATGTAGTGTGAAGGTAGTCCTTGCCTTGAGAAAGGACACCAAATACACCTGTTTTTTTATTTAGTTTTTAGAGCATTTGAGTATTATTTGCCAGTGCCAAGCTGAACATACATCTGGAAGTTATGGTGTGAAAGAAGTTAATTCATCTTTCTCTGCTGCTTTCATGATGAAGCAGTATTCCCTCATCTCCTCACAGCAGTGGCCACATGCACAACATCCTGAAGAGGTGGCAGGAGAGTGTGGACTGGGATTAAAAAATGAAAGTTTCCTCTGAGCACACATTTCTTTTGCTCTCAAGCTGGTCTGACAGAGTTTTCTGAATGGGTGTTGAAGACTTATTTGAGGAATTTAGAGGATATACCAAAGGATCTGAATTCCCCAGAGGGAGAAAAAACTCATCAACTTGAGTACCTACATGTTTTTGTCAACAGTATTTGCTCTGGGGGTAAAGGGATGGAAGAAAGACATTTCTGAGTTGACTTCGAAGTATTTGGGGAAGGGGGGAACAAACATACATAACTATGCTTTTCAAACCACAAAAGCAGGGATAGAAATCCAGAAAAAAAGCTTTTTGGGGCTTAATGCTTCCATTATATTATATTTGTTAACAGGAAACTATGCAAAACTTTTGACTTTTAATGTGTTCTTTGGATTTGATTTTTGAGTCTTTACTTACACTGTGTGATGGGAGAGTTTCAAAGTAAAAAAAGTGAATTTTTCTTGAGGTTAGAATGAAGAGATACTAGTTTTATACAATTAAGAAACACCACTAAGAAACTCATAAACCAAAAAGAACATAGTTGTGCTTTTGATAATTTCACTCATAGCAATGTTCTGCCAGCATATTCGCAGTGTAGCAAAATACAACATCATAACATGAAATATTCATACATGCCTTAGTGCCTAATCCTTGTCAAAGGATATCTGTGCACTGCCTCGTGAGATTTCAGTTTTTCTAGATGTTTCAAATCTAGTGCTGCTTATTAGGAAATTTGTTACTCCAAAGGATTCTTTAGGAGGCATTTTTGTTAAAAGGACAAGAGCAAGAATGAGTGACTGTGACAACACCTTGCATTAACTCTAGTATTTATACAGGCATGAAGTGACTTGGATCAGCTTCTGAGCAGGCATTCAGTCTGGTTTTATTCATCTTTTTCACAGAACAGGCTTTCAGTTGGATCAGCCAGCAGATCCAGCTCATCACATTGTGGGATGTGAACATGGCTGTAGAAGGGCAGGGGATGCTGTCCCTGGGCAGCGGGAGGGCTCTGTGTCAGCCCAGATCAGCTCTGGCACAACTGCTATGCTCTTTTGACTTCAGTTAGCTACGTTTTTTATTTACTTTATGCTGGCTGCCTGACCTTGAGCAATTATGTGGTGAGATTACTTTTTCTCATTAAATGTGGTGGAGCTTAGAAAGAGTGTGCTTTTGTGCACATGTGCTCTCTGGTGCACGTGTGGGTGCTGCCTCTCACTCGAGCCCTGCATGTGGCTCCCCAGGTTAATGAGTAATAACCTGGGAATGTTTGACATTGGGTGCTCTTGACTGCTGGCTTCAGCCTGTGTTTTGATTAAAGCAACTTTGATGTTTTAAATCAGGAGTGATAGGAAAATGTAACCTGTTTCTTTGGTTCGTGAGAAACATCTAAACCCTTTTGGTTGCTTAAATAATAATTTGTTAACTGTTGTAGCCTCAGTCCTGTAGAAGTATTTCAAGGAAAGCCTGCTAAGCTTTGTGCTTGGACTGTGTGTCAGTGTGTCAGCTGTTTGGTGTGCTACCACGATATCAACATTACTATCTGTCCTGAACCGGGGCATGGTTCCACGAAAAGTTAAATTAATCCATATCACCTGCTGTCTCCACCGCCTCCTGTCCTCTGATTAGTGATCTTTTGTGCTTGCACTCACCTGACCCTGAAGTGAGCTACTTCAGGAAGCTAAACCAGTAAAAAGAAGGGATTAGATTCCTTTGAATGGTTTAGATCCCTAAACCAGCCTTCCCAGCAAACAGACTGGATACTGCAAGTGAAGGAGCAGAAAAATAACAGAAATATTTGGTGATGTGTGAGGCGTTCAAGACAGTGTCAGCTTGGATGGAAGCATTGCTATATGGTGAAGGGGTAGAATACTTTCCGTGTGTTAGAACAGACAACTGAGGACAATGGCTTGCCCCTGGAGCAGAGGTGGCTTGGGTTGTGATGATGCATTGTTCTGGGGGAGTTCATTCATCAAGACTGATCAATAGTTGGATAACTTGATTTCCTGATACTGAAGAGCTGCATGCTCCCTGTTGTGTTGGATAGGCATAGTGCTTAGTCAGGACTTTTCCTAGAGCACAGGCTGTTGGTTTAGATAGCTCTGGTGCACTCTGTAGAATCTTTGGGGGAAGTTGCAGGAGAGCTTAGAGTGATGGCTGTTAGAGCTGGGCTGTGACATGCTCTTGGTAGTCTGTTGGGTAGACCAGTTGCAGTTACGAGCTGCAGCCCCTGCATCTCTAGAGGCAACACCTGTGCTGGTGAGGCCTACCTCAAAACTGATGTAGAGACAGATTTATTTAAAAAACTATCTGATCTGGAAAAGTCACACCAGACTCATATGCTGTGTAAATAAGGCATTTGAATAAGAGGTGTGATAAGGACTATGTGAATGTTTTAGGGCCAAAACCAAACTCTTACCTGGTATATCAACATGTACCTTCTTAAATGGTGGTGCCATTTCTAATCTCAAATACCTGCAGATAGCTGTCACAATTTCTGCATCTGAATGACAGAAAGAAAGACCTGGAGATAATTATATGAAGACTCAAGTTCTGATCAGAGTTATTAGGTGGTTATACCTCTGCACAGAAAAGGTATTTTGTATTTTCTGTCCCTTTAAGGAAGGAGGGGATCAGTGTTCTCCAAATCCCCTCTTTAAGAGGGGATTTTCTGATACGTGACTACTTTCTTGTGGTCATAGGAACTTGCCCCACATCCAGACCTGTTAGTCTATTGTTGAAGTAATTCTTTTTCACAAATATGTGACGTTCTGTCAGGAGGAGAAAACTGACTACAAGAAATGCATCAGAGTGATGCTCTTGTGGTGTTATTTTTTTCTTGTTGTTGTTGTTGTTAAAATTAAAAGGTGATAAGTTCACACATGACACTGTGCAAGTACTTTAAAGTTGTTTAGTAATACAGATTTTTCCCTTTCTGTGATCCTGGAAAATTAAAGGATATCCTTTGCTGTTGCAACAGTGGCATTTTTTTGAATTGGACATATCCTTTCAACCCCTGCTGCTGGCTGCACTTTAAGGGTACTTCCTTGCCAAGAGCCCTGAGGTGGAGGAGGGAGGCACTCGTGCAACTTACACCCACTGGGATCTTACCCATAGGAGGTATTTTAGAATTAGCTGTGTAGCTGAAACCTCTCCATACGCTAGTGTATGTTTCTTGGGGTCAAAGATTCAGTCTCATCTTTTGTAAATGACTTAATCTAAACTATTGCAGACTCTTTTACAGTTGCTTGACTGTGGAGGGAATGGAGCCTCAAGCCAGCATTAGCAGCATCCTGGTCTTCACATAACGGGAGAGGGAGGGAAGTGATTATCACCCTTTACTAGTCATTCATTAATCTGAATATGACCCCTGCTCTAAGTACAGAAAAGATATAGAGAAACCAGAGCAAGCTCAGTGGAGGGCTATCAGGTTGGTCAGGGCTGGAGTACTTGCCCATAAGGAGAGGCTGAGGGACTGGGACTTTTTCAGCCTAGGGAGGAGACAGTTCCAGGGAGGCCCAGCAGCAGATCCCCAGCACCTACCATGGTGGGAAACACAGTTGACAGGATGACAGAGTTAGGCTTGCATGGCAGAAAGATGAGAAACTTTGGGCAGAATTGAAATCAGGTTCAGACTGGATATAAGGAAACATTTACTTACTCTCAGGACAGTCAGATGGTCAATCAAGTTTCCCAGAAAGGTTCTACAGTCTTTGTCCTTGGAGGTTTTCAAGACCTGACAGGATAAAATCCTGGACAAGCTGCTCTGAACTCACAGCTGAGCCTGCTGTGAGCAGGAGGTTGGTCTGAGATCTCCAGAGCTCCCCTTCAGCCTGGGTGGTGCTCTGATCCTGAGTGGAGTTATTGGGAGCCCCTGGAAACTAGGTATTGAAAGGAATTACAATTTGCTTTAGTTGTTTTAGGTTTTTGAGTGGGAAAGGAAAAAGAATAGATATTACAGCTGACTAAACTATGGAACTTGGAGGTTGGTTGCAAGAATCTGCAGCAGCAAAAGAACAGAGGAAGGCAGGACTCTCTTGTATTTTTGGGTGTTTTTGTTCTGGTGGGAGTGTCTTTTGTTTTGTTTATTTCCCCTTGCCTTTTCTCACGAAAAGAAGGAATTTTCATTCTGCGAGAGCTAAGCCTTGCCTGGGACTTACACAGAAGTTTTACTAGGTGGAATAACTCAGAAAAAAGATAGATATTGCTACATAATTCATACATTTGCACACTAACAGTGAAAAGAAGAAATTCGTGATTACAAAATTGAGTTGCCTTCAGAAGAAAAAAGCATTTCTGACATGTTTGGAATGAGATGATCTATGTGTTACTTAAAACAATTGGGTTTTAGTCTTATGGAATGTGGCTTGGTTGTATTTGAATGTATAAAGTTGAAGTTATAGGCAAGACTTACAGAATTTTTAGATTTTGTAAATTTTTGTAAAGATGCTGTTGAATGAAAAATGTTAAAAAATGGTTTTAATTACTATATATAGTGTTAATGCAGTCCTCAAAATAATTGCACGGCTGTAGTCAAAGAGCACAGTTACTGAAAACTTGTGATCCAAATATTTACTTACGATTTTGATTGCAAAATTACATTTGCTTCCTGTTGATGTTTTTATCTCCTACCAGATTTAACTTATCTTTAGTTGTGAATGGAATGTTACTTCAGTGTTTATGTACCACAGTATAGAAAACATTTTAAGAAGAAAAACAGTGTTTTTACTTTCCTTTCATAAAAATAAAAACAACACAATGCTGTTATTAACAAGTAAGTGCCATATGTTAGGACAGTGGGACTTTGATTGATTGATTTGATTGATAAGAGTTCTCAAATCTCAATGTCAGAAACTGAGAGGGTTTTGGCAAACTTTAGTGACTGTAGTCTAGAACAAATCTTAGAAGGTATTTTTGCCAAAAAAAAACCAGAAGAAAACTGTGTGAGTTTTCAGACATTTCATCCAATATGAACTTGTAACTTGTGGTATAAATAAGCAGGAGAACTCAATGAGGTTATTTATCATGCTTTATAATACTCCTTGCAGAACTATGGCCTTGAAACAGACAATATGAAGAACCTGGTTCTCAAGCTGCGAGCGTCATCCAACAATCTGCAAAATTACATCAGCAGCCGTAGGAAAAGTTCAAATTATGATGGAAATACCTCTCGCAAGCCCCCCAATGAATTCCTTACTTCTGTGGTAGAGCTTATTGGTGCTGCTAAAGCCTTGCTTGCATGGTTGGACAGGTAAGAATAAAATCATTGTTTTAATTTACTGCTCTAAGGAATTGCTTCGCCTTGTAGGGCAGTTCCTAGATGCCTGAGTGTAAAGATCTCGATCTCAGTCACTCCTTTTTTGATGTTGCCAGAAGGCCTCTAGTGAACAAATAGAATCTGGAGTAATCTACTCTTGTGCTTCCACTCTTGCTAAAACCAGCAAAACCATTACATTGCACACAAACTGGTATTTATAAAAGTAGGAGTCTTCTCTTTCAGGTCATTTCTTATGCATGTGACTACTTATCTTTTCCCCTTCCACCTTGTAAATTACTTGCCATTGGCAGGTCCCTATCTAGAAGAATTTTTAATGTTCTGCTAAAATCATGGCCTTAGCTATGTGATTTGAAATCTGAGCAGTGGGAGAGATTCTCCTTACGCTGTTTGTTTTCTGTCTTCTACCCCCTTATTTAATGCTCTTTTTGTCTGGAAAGAGCAAAAGTTGTTTTGTGACAGCTGTAGCAGGTCAAGTGCTGGCAAGGATGCAGTCTGTGATAACAGATGAACATAAATTCTCAAACCCCTTGCTAGCTTTCCTGAGAAGGAGGAGAACTGCACAGGGGCTGACAGCAAGAAGCACTTTTATCCTTCAGTATCCCTGCTCTCAAGCAAGGCATTGGTCTGTGTCCAGGTAGTGATGTTAACACCTTGTGCCTCTCACCTGGTCCTCTTCTTTCACCATGATGCTGGCAGCTCACCCTAGATTTTTTCTGTAACTCACCGTCAGGAAAATTGTTGGCTTATTCATTTCCAAACATTCTGTGGTCACTTCTCAACCCCTCTTCTAGCTCTTGTCTGGAGGATCTGAGGTAGGACTCTACAGGCTATAAAGCTGCCCTACCTATAATGATTCTTAAGTCTCACTGTACTTCTGTGTGTAAAATGTGAAAATCCATTTTTCTTATTTTAGAGATTTTTTTTTACTTTGTCCGGTCAGAAAGTTAGAGGTCTACTCACTGGCAAACCCAAGTGTGTGATTTTTTACAACACAGTATGACTTGAGCATGTAAGTAGGGAGAACTGTAGTTGGGAAAACCATTTCTTCTGGTTCTGTTCTCTGAACTTGCTTACCACAGGGATAGACGTTTTCCAGTTATGGTGCAAGAATGGAGCAGGGCTATGCAGTCAGGAGTACTGATGTTATAAAACTCTGGTGTACTCTCATGTGCTCTTTGTCATCCATAAGGTAGGATTGGAAAAGGCTGGTCCTTTTGATCTAAGGGGAATGTTCTCTTGTTGCAGGACCCCATTTACAGGTATTGCTGACTTTTCATCAATGAAGAACAGAATCATTCAGCTCTGCTTGGACCTCACTACTGCTGTTCAGAAGGTCAGCTGATTTCTTTTCCTCTTTGCTTTCCAAAAGGGAAGGAAAGGGGGTGTTTGGGGAAGTAATGTGCTTGCTGTGTGCTGAGTGCTAATGAAAGGCAGATCTGGGAATCAGAGCTTACTTTAAACTTTGAAGGTCCATGAAGGTCAGTTTCAGTTGTTTGTTTTTCTGAGTGGTGGAAGTTTTTTGTTATTCCTATCCCAGTTTACTTGCTGGCTGTATCTGAAGTGACTGCAGTTTAAAGGCTACTTATATTTTCTTGAGCTTTATGAGAAAGAGGGTTAGTTTTTGAAATAGTTGGTCTGCATTTGAAGATCTTCACCTTCCAAACAACACGTTGATAAACAGTTATCAGTGCTAACTCTAAATAAAAATATGGCTCCATTGCTTTCTACATCTGTGCCTGCAAGCTTTGTAGGTCTGGTCCCAAAACAGAGTGTTTTAGCTATCAGATGGGAAATGCTGCATGTAATGGAAGGAGTTGCCACCTTTACAATACAAATTGCACTAGCCAGGCTGCTTCTGCCACTACTGCAACACCGTAGTATTTTTCAAAACTTTAATTTATCATCTGTGTGAGGAGTACTTGTACAGCTAATAGCTGAAAGGACATGCAACAACATGTAGCATCTTGGCAAATGACTCTCTGAATAATACTGCCTGTCTTTGAAACTGTTCTGAGAGCATACCACTGCTCTGACCGTGAAGCACTGTGTGCACACTTCAGTTACTGCCAAACTGGCTCATAACCATTACTCTATGGCCATATATTGTTCGAACTCTGAAGGACCGTCCCCTGACATGTGTGATTCTTTCCCCATGTTGAAGGGATGATGTCAAAGGACAGAAACATCCTGTGAGTTGTCAAGCTATGATGACATCCAATTACATCAGTTGTATCATTGTCAAAGGACGGTGTCTGGGTACTGTAAATTCTAAGGTGCACAGGTTTGTCCTGCTGCTCGATGCCCTTCTTGCTTGGGCGCTGTGTGTACAAATGCACATTATCAGTGATTTACGGCTACAGATTTGCAGGTTGTACAGTAGAACAGTAAGTGTGTCTAGCAGCAGATGGTGTTCACCCAAAAGTGCTACAGGAACTGAAATATGAGATTACTGAGTGTATTAATAAAACTGCTAAAAATGGTGTTTGATCGTTCGGTTAAGTCAGTCTTTGGTGGCAGGGGAGTGGAAGTTGGTGAATACTACACCCTAGCCTTTTAAAAGGCATCAGGCCACTTCTCTGCCAATTCAGTAGGAGCTATAATAAAGAATGGGATTGGTACAGACAAGAAAAAGCATTAATGGCGGAAGAACCAACACTATTTTGTACTGGGACACTGCATGTATGTTGGAACGGTCTGAAGGAGTCACACTGATGTGGAAAAGAGAGATACAACTGAAAAAATTTTATAAGGGCCTTTAGAGTTCAAAAGTATTTCTTATTAGATTATAAACTATAGGAACAAATGATGAGTTCTAATAGTGGAGAAGGTACCAGGGTGACTCTCATGGAACCAATGGTACTCTGCATAATCATAAATGATGTATAAAAGTGGGTGAATAATGAAGCGAGGCAGGAATGCAAGAAGATTCTACTTAACTTTAGTGATAGCTATATAGACTCAAAGACCAGAGTTTACTCCACTTAAAGTTCTGTGGCAAACTTAATACTGAGCAAGTGAGCTGCAGGATAGGTGACATTTCCTATTGGTTCATGCAGATGTATTTAGCCAAGAAAAGCAGGAGACAGTCCTCCACGAACTTCTCCAACATGACTCCTTCCCATGGGCTGTACTTGTTCACAAACTGCACCAACCTGGGTCCCTTGCACAGGGTGCAGTCCTTCAGGAACAAACTGTTTCAGGGTGGGTCCCTCATGGGGTCACAAGTTGTGCCAGCAAACTGCTCCAGCGTGGGCTTCCCATGGTGTTATAGCCTCCTTTGGGCAGTCACCTGCTCCAGTGTGGGGTCTTCTGCAGGCTAGAGGTGGATCTCTGCTCCACTGCAGACCTTCATGGGCTGCAGGGGGACACCCTGCCTCACCATGGTCTGCAGCGTGGGCAGCAGGGGAATCTCTGCTCTGGTGCCTGGAGCACCTCCTGCGCCTCCTCCTCCTTCACTGACCATGGTATTTGGAGGGTTGTTTCTCTCACACTCTTACCCCTCTCTCTGGCTGCAGTTACACAGGGCTTTTTTCCCCACTTCTTAAATCTGTTACCCCAGAGGTGCTGCCACTATTGCTGATGGGCTTAGCCTTGGCTAGTGACAAGTCCATCTTGGAGATTGTTGGCACTGGCTTCATGGGGAAACTTCACAGGGAAGCTTCTAGTAGCTTCTTTCAGAAGCCATACCCGTTGGATCCCTGTTACCAAAGTCTTGCTGTGCAAACCCAATATAAATGTCAAAGGCGAATTTAACCTTGTTAAAATGCTTGGGGTTTGGGGGTTTTCTCCTTATAGATACTATAAATATTTTTTTGTTATTTATCTGCTGTATTAACTTTTTAATCTAAGCATAGTATTATTGTCCAGTTCAGCTCTTCTTGCAGAAAACAGTGATGACTTCTGTGGTTACTTACATGAACTTGTTTCAGTTCAAAGACTTTTGTACCTGGGCTGTGTAAACAATGCCTTGTGTGCAGTCCTCTGCCCTTCAGGAATGTCATCAATAGCATATTTAAAAAAAAAATCACTTTCCATTCTGTTTTCAACACTATCTTTTAGATACATTTTGATGCCTGGGACAGAGAAGTACCTAATCAGTGTAAGGCAAACTCATCTGCCTGTCCTTCTGAGAGTACTTTTATTTTGCAGGGTTCTGCAGGGTTCTGCTTCTCTGGAAAAGTCGGCTGCTGTAATTGAATCCCACATTCTCTGAGTTTTCAAGGTTTATTATTGCTTTCTATCGGGGCCAGAAAATAGTTGCTTAACAGTCCATTTGAGCCCTACTGGGTGAAACTAATCTGATTAATCCCTGCAGCATGAATAGCTATTTCTATTCAAGGTTAAAATGGCAGTTTTGCAGCATTTTCAGAGATATTTGTTTACATTTTTATTGGTTAATGCAGGGCTTTTGTTCTTACTTTATTTTTAGGATTGCACTGTGGCTGACATGGAAGATAAAGTCCAGGCTGTGGTAAGTTTGTTTCTGTTGAAACTCAGCTGTTTGCATTCACATTTATTTCAGTTGCTCCTATGCTGACTGTACTGACAACAGCTTTTCAGTCCCAAATGTACAAGTGTATCATGCAAGTAAACATTACTGTGGATTGTTTTGTGAATATTCTTTGCTGTAGAGGAAATCAGTGAAATTGGAACAGACGGATAGGGTGTGTAGTAGCATGGAGTCAAGTATTCCTTAAAGTTTCATTCCACAGCTATTTTTCCAAGAGGATTTAGACCTTTCAAGGGAGGAGTAGTACTGTAGAATGTTCATAGGCTAAATAAACCAATTATGGCTGTGAAGTGCAGTTAGTACCTTAATAAGCAGGCGCTATGCCTTCTTCATGTAGAAGAACTGCCCTGCCACAGAGCTGAAGTTCTGTTTCTGTTTGTACTTGAGCTTCAGTTTCTAGGGTTGTTTGGAGCAGCCTTGTGACCAAACGTGGAGTGTAATGGAATGCTTTTTATATTTTGTAACAGTTAATCATCACTTCCTGCTTTTGACATAAACCAGGCTGTGCTCTTTGATAAGGCCTTCCGGTAGCTCATAGATGCTTAGGAATTTAGTAGCAAAATAACTAAAAATAATTCTGTCCGTAAATACTGAGACCATGTAAAAGGGAGTTTTCTGCATCTTTCTTTTTCCATTGGTGCACACCCGCTCTGGAAATAGGTATTGTTGTTTGGAATTCCCTTGTTTGAGCAGTTCCTCACATTCACACTTAAACATTGTTTTGTTTTATTTTATTGCTGCTCTATAAATCTGACGTAAAACAACAGAGAAGACGTTGGAACTATTGTTTCCAGGGACCATTGTGATCAAAACCACTGTCTTCCTATTACACAGCTCCCCCCCGTCCTGTAATTACATATGTCTCCTTTGACTGGAGGATTCAAACCCCTTGTGAAAGGTTACTTGCTGGTTCACAAACTGTTTTTAGCTAACTACTGTCCTGTACTAATCCTCTCTCCCCTCCCCTTTAAGCTTTTGCAACTGACTTTGAGTTTCAGCATTCCTTCAGTTAATGTCAAGATGGAAAACACACGGTGGGAAGTAATGAAATTTGTGAGTGTAAAGGGGGCACAGATTTTTGGACTGTCCCCCGTCCCCCATGTTTAATTAGCCCTTCTAATAGTTAAATGTTCTACAAGGCAAAGCCATTCTTCCTCTAACTATACTGATACACATGCCAAGGTCAGAATTAGCCTTTAGTTATGATGTTAGCTTAGGATCAGTTATGTTTCAGTCAAAAGGAAATGTGAACCTTGCCTGCGTAAGCATTCCAGAAGAGGTCAGTTCAGAGGCACAGTGTAAAGAATTACTGCTGAAACACTTAAATGCTACATGTTCTACCTTACACTGTAAAACTTTGAGCAGGTAAGGCAGTGGCCAGCACATCACTTTTGGTAGCACATGGCCAATTTTATTCTCATAGCAGAAATAAGGAACAACATGAAAAACTGTCAACTGTTCCCACAAAGAATCATCAAAATGTTTCAATATTTTAATGGGTTGTATTTTGGTTAAAAGTGAACAAGCCCTTACCCAAATTTTTTCTGCATTTTCAGTGTTTATTGTTTTAGACAGAGGATGTGTCAGCATCTGCTAGCGATGGTGAGGGGGCACTAATGGAAACAAGTTGTTTTTACTGTGTCACAGTAAGAATATAAACATACTGTAGAATAGATCTGTACAAATGAATCTGCTGTTTCAGTGGTTTTAGAAGTCATTTCCTTTACATCTTTTGACAACTGGAAGAGGAAGAAGCCAGGGAGACTTTTCCTAACTGTTATTTGTATGTTCTCATTGTAGGCCAAGACTTTAAATGGCATTTGTGATAAAGCCATTCGATCAACTACAGATCCATTGATGAGCCAGTGTGCCTGTCTGGAGGAAGTTCACTTAACCAACATTAAACCTGGGGAAGGCCTGGTAAGAACTGGAGTGTCCTGATGTCTCCAGTGTCTAATAGGTAGTCTTGTGAGCCGATGCAAGTGTTTAGGTATAGTAAGATATTTCAAGACCAATAATAACCTATGGAGAAAAGAAAGAGGCATGGGGAGGAGGTGGTGTGCTGGAGTGGCTGCCAAAGACAAGTATGCATGTTAATAGGCTTGATCCCAAATATAATTTTTAGTGGTAAGTTGTTGAAGATTTTTGTCTTAATGAGGATATTGAAAATTTACAAATACTTGTGAAATTAGTAGTTCTATTTTTGCGGGTTACTTTATCTAGTTGTTTTTCTCATAGGTCTGGGGGAGGGAGAAGGTAATGAGAAATTATGTTTGTGTTTTGAAAGATGTGGTTTTATTTGTTTTCATAGGAAGATTTAGAAGAATATGAGAATTTTTAAGGTTAGCTGTTAGCAGGAATAGGAGAACTTTTAAAATGTTCAGTGACTGACTCTTGTTCATTCGGTGGATTCTGCCTAGTTGAGTGCTGGTTATGAGAAACTTAGTTTGAAATCTTAGTTGATTTTCTGCCTAGCGAACAGATGTGTTAGAATGAATTGGAGGGAATTGAAATTCTTAAGTGCATTTGTGTTCACCCCCTGGCCCTGAACGCAGAAGAGATGAACACTTACAGAGAAAGCTGCCTAGTCTTACTGTGCTATATAGTTTTACCTAGACCAATGAATTTAACTGAATTAGTCATGCATTCTTGGAATTATGGGGACCTCTGTTAATGCACAAGCTACAACAATGCGAAGTCAGTCTAACTTGGACTAAGTAAGAAATGAGGAGGTTGGTGCACACAACTGGAAACTGACAGGCAAACAGGGAAGGAATTGGCTGGATAGGAAGGATCAAAAAACATCTTCTATTTTTCTGCTTTCAGCTCCAGAATAACATCCAGTTCTATACTGCTCAGTGTGAGTGCTTCTAACAACAGATGTAGATAGGAAAAGTAGATACCTATTCTTTTGTAAATGATGAAACCAATATACTGGTCACCTCTTGTGGGGAAATCTATGTAATTATTGATTATTAGCTGGCTTGTGATTTTTAATTTGGTGTTCTTACGGTCAACACCCACTTCATCTGAGTTTGTCCTTGTATTCACACTGGGCATTAACATACAGAGCCACAGATGCTCTGCTGGAGCTTTCGTTGCTTACGTAAGCACTGTGGCTGTGAGTCAATCTGTATATTGACTTGCCAGGAGAAGCTGTAAAAGAACATGTCTGCAATATTATTAGCCCACCTGTGTAAGTTAACTTTGTATGGAGAGGACTAGTGGCTACCCAGTAAAACCTGTAATTTTCTAGTGCAGACTGGGTAGTAATGAAATAAAGGGTTTTTTGAGGCCAAAGACTGACAAGGCAGCAAAACAAGCAGTGTTTGGTATTACTAACCAGATAATGTTTTTAAGTAATGTTCCATATATTTGGTGTTTTAATTCATAATAAATATTATAATTAATTATAGTAAAAGTGATCTGTGAAGAAGTTTAATGTAATATTAGACCACACACTTCACTAGGGAAAATGTATGAATTGTTAACTGGTTTTAATAATGTTTTGAGTCTGTTGCCAACATTTGTTTAATCAGATAAGTTTTGTGGTTTGTGTTGCCTTTAAAGTTGTTTTTCATTTTTTCTTTATACTTAGGGAATGTACATAAAATCAACTTATGATGGATTGCATGTAATTACTGGAACTACAGAAAACGTAAGTGAAGTAAATGTAGATTAACTCAGGCTATCTGGACAGTAGCTTTGCTGAGTTAGTTTGTCTTACTAGTTTGTGTCGTTTTACATATGACTTGCATGGTATTAGTGTTTCTAATACTGTGTGATGCATCGTTTGTTTATCCATAATTTGTAAATATTTTGTGTCTGCATGTTTCACAGTTAGTCAAATTAAACCAGTTTCTGCAAGTTACATGAGATACTATTTTAATGCCAAGCATTTGAACTTTAATAAGGTACTGTATCTGCTGTTTTGAGCCCTTAATGGTATCTTGTTTAACAGAGTCTTGGATGTATTTGCTCTCTGCTGGCAAAGGCAATCTCCCCTAATGGGAACAGTGAGGTGGTAGTGTGCTAAATTCAGGAATGAGTAATGAAATTAATGAGCTGTCCCAGCACAAAATTACCTTGCAGAGAAGAAAGACTATGAACAAGTAAGACTCTCAAGAGTGGTCAGCTGGAAGGAAATAGTAGTCAGGGTAGGCAACTAGTTTTTCCTGCAGGTGGTTGCTTCTTCTATTTGTACTCTTTGTACAAGTGTAGTCCCTTTATAGCAGGGACTTCATTGAAGGCTTCTGGGTAACCACTGAAGGAGTGGAGCCCCAGCCAGAAGCTGAGGGTGGCAGGTGATGCTGTGGTGGTGTCAAACATGCTGCTGTATAGGAGCAGTAACTGAAACAAAGAAGAGCAGAGAAACTTGGCTTTTGCAGGAATGATTTTTTTTGTGAATAGGAAAGAACCAGTGGTTCTAGTTGTTACCCCAGCCAAGTCCAGAGGCCAGGAGGAGAGAGTGGAAATCTGTGCTTGCAGTTCAGAGTGCAGAGTGAAAACTTTTACAGCTTTTATGCTGCTGTCATGGCATAACTCTGTATAGAATCTGCCACAAAGACCAGACCCACTTTGACAGCAATTTCAACATCTGATAAATGTCAAAGAATGTCATGTTGACTGCTGACAAGCTGCCTCTGCATGTAGATCTTATTTTGGGTGCTGTATTTCTTCTGTAGCTTTGAGTGTTGACTTAAATGTCTGCTTTTTTTATCAACACTGTTTCTTCCTTTGGAGCAACAGAACTTGGAGTGACTGAGATCTGCAAACAACTGATGTCTTTATGGTGGCGTGGTATTGCTTAGATGACCCAGATGAGCCAGATGAGCCAGGCTCTTAGCTCAGTTTTCTTCATAGATTTGGAATGGTATCTTAGTGGCTATTCCCAGAAGCTGGTGTATGGGAATGCAGTGGAATTGCATCCCTGAATTGATAGTACTGAACGGTGGAAGGACTGGGAAAGTCCATTTGGTACCAGTCAGCCAAGAAGATTCCTGAGTTGTACCATCTTATGTGTGACTTCCTGTGTCACGCGTGCCTAGATCTGAACTTTGTTCTTTCCTCTGTTTTCACATGTGATCCAAGTGTCTGTGCTGTGACCTGTCACTTGTAGGAGTTCTCTGTGCAAGAGTCCCCCACCCTCTCTCAGATGAGCTGTTGGTCTCCCAAAGGACAGCTTGCAATGAGCTTTGTTTTTTCCTAAACTTGACTTTGGCCCAGCGTTTTTTCATGGTCTTGGTTGACTCATATATATGCAGCTTTCCACAGAGGCATTTCCTTTCAGAGGAAGCAAGAAGACAATGAAGAAACGGGGTTACTCATGATAGCTGGAGCCTCCCATAAATTCCCACACGTTTTCTTCCCTTGATGCACTGTTTATTCTTAGTTCTTTCTCATAAGAAAGTTACTGGAGCTCTAAAGGTGTGATGAATCCTTAATCCCAGTGCTTAGTTCTGGAGTCAGTAGGAAGAGCTGGACTGCTGCCAGGTGATTGCTCGTGGGGTGGGGGAATGGGAGGAGGAGTTGTCCTGTGACGGGTGCAGTACATACCAGGGTGGTATGACTTTGTGCTTTGGGTGTTGTCAAGGCTGGTCAGAGTTGGTGTGTTAGAGCAGTGAGGCTGTTTTTAATAACTGCAGCAATAGCCGGTGCATTGTACCAGCTCTTGATAAATGTAAATATTGACACATTTAGCTCTTTCTTGCTAATGATTCCCCAGAGCTTAGGTTTTGTTCCAAGAAACTTGTATTTTAAGATGTATTGTTATTAGATAGGTATTTGAAAAATACCTATCTGTGCATACTGGATGTGTGCAAACATGTATTTTTATCTGTTGACCTTGATGATGCAAGCAGGCAGTTTCACATTAAAGTTGGAAGTGTTTATTTACATTATGAAACAGAAAGTGCAATGGATCTGTCTTATGGATTGGAGGGTTTTTGGTCCTTTGTTCTGTACATTCAAAGTCTTAATGTATTTTTTTAAAGTCAGTATGCATTTATTTGAAAGCTGTTTAGGATAGTTGCTGTGTTAGAGCAGAAACCCTCTTCAGTCCTCTCCCACTACTGTCTAAAACTACAGTACAAACTGGAGGCAAAAGGACAGTAGAGACTGTCCCATGACTTAAGTATCATTTAGCCTGTAACAGGTGTAGGCTATGCCTTCTCTCTTAAATAAATAATTTGATGAATTAATTTGCATTTCTGAAGTCATCAGCAGTTGTGAAAATTATCTATACTGAAGAGCATTGCTGGTGCAACCTTTGACTTAGCATGGTGGGGGTTATTATGGGAGGGATGAAAACCTGCTGAAGCACATGACTCTTGTTTTCCTCTTTGTAGTCCCCTGCTGATCGCTCCCAGAAGATTCATGCTGGTGATGAAGTGATCCAGGTTAATCGGCAAACTGTGGTTAGTAACTAACAGTGTTACCAACCTTCCCATATCCTTGCCCTGCAAGGCTTGCTCCCCACTGGTGCTGAGGGGATGGGGTCAGGAGGTGGCTCTGGTGTTTTCCTTATGAAATATCTGAGGCTTTTTAACATATTGTTTTCAAGACAGATTTTATTCTTTGCTAATATTTTGATAAAGTAAATATGCAATATCTCATGTTTTTAATACTGTATGCATCGTATTAAAATCCTTCATGTTGTGTTTAAGACCAGTTTTAAAATGCTTTTTTACAGTCCACTGAAGTGCAGATAAAAACAGCTTAAAAAAAAAACAGCTTAAAAAGAAACCCAATCATTTGCAAATGATTATCAAATCATTTGCATCTGGGAACTTGTATATTATGATTACATTTTTGCTTAGCACAGGTAAGCAATGCCTCTCAACGGGAGAAAGAAATATGACAAAAGTAGTTCACTGTGAATCCCTGTGTTAGTCAATTTGAGCACATTCATGTGTCCTTCTGGGACCAGAACTGAGGTATAAAGAGCATTGCTTGATACCTTAGTTTAGTTTAAAGCTTAAGTAGAGAATTTCCTTAGGAAAAAAAAAGAACCATGCAAAAAAGAAGCTTTCCATTTTTTTCTTAATTCTGACTCTTTCTGATCTCTTGTATGTCTTCTATGTTCACATTATAACAGTTTGACTTGCGGGATTTGGAATTTTCTTGTTTGTTTGCTTTCAGAAAAGAAATGCCAAATAAAAGAGGTCTTTATTATGTTCCAGGTTGGATGGCAGCTAAAAAACCTGGTAGCAAAGCTGAGAGAGAATCCTGCTGGAGTTAGGCTGCTGCTTAAAAAACGTCCTACTGGCTCTTTCCATTTCACTCCTGCTCCATTAAAGAACCTGCGCTGGAAACCACCCTTGGTGCAGGTGAGAGGCTGCCAGCTCCACTCTGATCTCAGGATGGGAATGCCTTGGTTGCAGCTTGAAAAAGAGAAATCCCAAAAATGCTCCCAGGTACTCAAGTTTAACTACAGATCAAGAAAGGTTAGGTGAAATGACTGTCCTTTTCTGGTTCCTAGATAAAAGGGAAAATGTTCTTGCCTTTTTCTTTTTTTTCTTTTCTCCTGTTTCCTTAAAAACAGATAATGCCCTCTTGGTACACAAATGGTCTAGGTGTGCTGAACATTTTAATCAGTCTATGTGTCACTGGGAGAACTTATCTGAGGAGAAACTGCTGAAACTGCTGATATGTATGGAATTCATAAGCATGGAGCAATAAAGACTTGATTTAGCACAGTAATACATTTTTGCTGAAATAACTTAGATTATTCCATATATTTGCCCTCTTTTTAGTCTGCTGAAGGATAGGAAAGAGTGTTTTTCAAGAACTCATTTAAACTACTTGTTTAAATAAGATTAGGTTGTTGGGCGATTCACAGATTGGCTACTGAGAACACAGAGAAAATGTGTTAATAATTATTAAATAACCATGTTGAGGAATGGCTTGTTGCATTAGGAAACTTAGGACTTAATGCTTACAGAAGGAAACAACCACAATGAATTTAAAGTCATTACGTGAAATGAATAAAATCAGTGAGAGTTCCCATTCCTACTCCTGTTGTGATGCAGGTCTCCCAACAGCTGTGAGGGTAATTTATCAACCTTAGAAATGCCAGTGGCTATCACAAGTCGTGAGGAAGGCAGATTTCTCTCAAACTGGGTAGAAGATGCATACTTGACTACTTTTCTCATCCTTCCTTTCACCTTCCTTTCACCTGTGTCTTGGTTTTGTGGCATCATGCCTGACATGTACTACCAGTGTGAAGAGCTGAGGTGGGCTGGCATATAGGCGATAGCAAGTGGTGTTTCCTTAGGGGAATGAGTGATTGGAGAAGCCTGTTGACAGTTCTGGGTTTCTGCTCTCTGACCAGTAAAAGGCAGGTGCTTGTGCAGGGGCACTGTTAACTAAGTGGACAGAGTGAAAGCCTGGACACGTCCTTACAAAAAGGGGAGAGTGCGCTTCTCTTGCCTGACAAAGGTGAAAGGGTCTTTGAAGCCTTTTCTCTCCTGGAGGCAGACAGGAGCCTGGCAAGATACTGAGAATATAGAAGTGAACCACAAAGATGAGCAGTGCCAAATCTATTTTTTCTTTGCTTCCCTGACTGCAGTTATATCTGTTGATCCAATTTATGGTGAACTTTACCATATTCCTGTTCATGCCCCAGGCGTTGGACTTTATGGAATAAAGATAGTATGAGCTGGCTTTGCAAGGCTTGCCAATCATATCTTTTTTTAACAAATTGTGTTCTTTTAATGCATCTAAAAATAGAAGAAAGGGTTTTGTCACAGTTGTTTTTTTTTTTGAATTTACAGGAAAAATGGAAAGAGCAAAATGTTCTTGAGCAGTAGATTTCCCATGATAGGACTTCTGTAGGAGGGATTGCAAAGCTAGCCAAAACTGGGGGTGGAGGAAAATGTAACTTCTAAGAGTTTTTGATGTGTTCATACAGCATGGAGATAGTAGTTCGTATAGGGGGTGAAAATGGTACTATTGATTATTAAATTATCTTTTTGTGAATGATAAATGAATGCTCAGATGTTTGATAGCTGTCTAACATTTCAGACCAGTCCTCCGCCAACTTCAACTCAGTCACCAGAAAGCACCGTGGATACCTCACTGAAGAAAGAGAAGCCGGCCATTTTGGATCTGTACATACCCCCTCCACCAGCTATTCCGTATTCTCCTCGGTATGCAAATAAACATGCACTACTGAACAAAAAACTCCATCATTACACTTGTTTCTGAGCTGGCTTGCTGTTACAGCTCTGTGCAGATTAGTCTGATGAAACTGTAAATCTCAGACTTTCTTCCCATTGCCCGAATGAATTGGATTGCTTAAACTTATGCTTAAATTCATACAGTATTAGGATTGTAATAGATTTTATTACTAGAAGATTATTGTGTGCCACACAGATCAGACTTGTTCCCAAAACAAGAACGGGTGTCACCTCGGGTTCTGTTTACATCCAACACAGCAAGAAGTAAATTTTGGCTGTAACTTTTTTCACTGTTGAATTTTTTTTCTAGCAGGTTAAGTAACTGTTGTGGCAGTTAGGATAGAAAAGAATGTCATGTTAAGACACCTATAACATAAAATTGTTAAACCTGCAAGCTGTTTAAAACAGGAATGTTCCCACTGAAGCGAATGGGGAGTCAATAGATCAACTTTTATTTTATTATGCTGTGGTGTAAGCTATAAAAGTGCAGACCTGTGTACCCAGCAGGTGGGGGGTGGTGCATATATGGTGAGGCTAACTGTTGTTTGTTCTCAAGTCCATGTTGACTCATGCCAGAACCCTGCTAGCTGATCTAAGGTGATGGGAAAAAAAGAAGTTTTCAGGCAAGACATGAAAGGCAGGCCTGCTTTCTGGCCTGCCCCAGCACTTTAGGTTATGTGTAGATAGCCCAGCACAGGAACTCTGACGTTTTGCTGCAGGACTTGTGGGAGGGCACTTGCCTGCTGTCACATAAGGGCTGTGACAGAGACAGAGGTTGTGTTACTGCAGTCTCTGGGGCAGGACTGGGAGGAGGGTTTCTCCAAGGTAGGGTCTCTACTGAAGTTGGATGCTCCTTGACATGCTCTCTCCCTGGCTGTATGGTTATACATGTTCAGTTCTTACAAAAAAAACCCAAACCTCAAATCTTTCAGCATAATAACAAACATATAGATTTAGCAGATGAATGTCTTAGTCTTTCTGTTAAATTTTAAGCACACTGGTGAGTTACATGCATGTGCTCAATTTGTTTATCTTTCCTAAAGAGGCACGAAATTATACTTAGCTTCAGATGCCTTTAGAGCCGAATCCCTGTTGACAAGGAAGGAAATAATAGTGCAAGCTATAAAACTTGTCCTGGGTGATGTCGGAAAGGGGACTTAACTTTAACTTCTAAAGAAAGCAAATGTGGGAAGTTGTGGCAGGCAGAAAGAGGAGAAAGGGCAATTCTTTTACTTTCTGTTTGGCAATTTATTTTGACCTCTGTGTGTTTTGCTTTTTTCTTGAAACTGTGGTGGATTTGTGTGGTGGTTGCTTTCCCCTTCTTCCTCCCTCCCCCCCACCATCATCCGATTCCCTTCCTTTCTTGGTGTGGATCTTCTCTGGTCCACGCTGGGAGGCAGAGAGCAGTGTTTGGTTTCCTTCCCTATGGCACAGTCTCCACATGGTGGTGGTGTAGGAGAACTCTCCACATACATACAGTTGTGGTATAACATTTGAGTCCAATTTTCAGTCTCTGAATCTCCATAAATAGCTCCTTCCCATTCACTGAGCTGTAGCATTGTTCTTAGTGGAGGGCTGGAAAAGCGGTATGCGCTGGCTGGGGGCTGCTGTGAATACTGGGGAATGCTTAGGAAGTCAGCTCTGTACTTTGATGCCTGACTTGGCTAATGGTTGCTTCAAGCAGCAGGATTGTCGCATGTACAGGGAAGGGGAAAAAAAAACCCCAAACCAGGTGAATCTGAAGTTGGAGGTTAGCTTCTCTTCCAAAAGTACTTGCAGGGACAGGTTCTAAAAATTGCAGCTGTTCTGGACTTTGGAATGAGAGATTGCTCTGGGAAGGGAGTTTCTGCAGAATATAATCAAAATCATATATGCATATATATGTATGTATGTGTGTAGGTATATATATGCACACACATATGTTTATATATATATATATACACTCTCTATGAATCTGTTATTGGAACTCTCAAGGAGGGAGAGAGAAGGTGGTAAATATTCAGTGACAGTTATTGGACTCGTTCAGTGATTGAAAAGCAGTCCCTCAGAGGTGCTGCCATTATACAGAGATGGATAAATTTCTGTAGCATCCCTGATTCACAGCTGCATACTGTGAGCAGGCAGTGGATCAGGGGCTTTGATGCCCTCAGGTCAGAAAGATCTCATTTATCAAAATCTTGTGCAGTAATGGAACCTCTAAACTTCTCTGTGTCAAATTCCTGGCTCTTTAACGGTGAATATAGCAGAAGGCGGGCAGCTTTCTGTTCTCCTTCTTCCTTCACTTGATTTTTTTTTTCAGCTTGTTTACAGCACAATGCCAGTTGTCATGAGCATAACTGGGTGCTAGAAGTGTGTTTCAAACCTAGGCATGTCTGTAGTGTTAAACTCTTTTATGTTACTAACTGAGGTGACATGTCCTTTCAGAGATGAAAAGGGGAGTTTTGTGTGTGGAGGAGGCAACAAACGCAGTCAACCCTTACCTGGGTCCAAGGGGGCCGAGTCTCCCAATTCTTTTCTGGATCAGGAGAGTCGAAGGCGAAGGTTTACTATCGCTGATTCAGATCAGTTGCCTGGGTATCCTCTGGAAGTAAATATCCTACCAGCCAAGATGAGGGAAAAAACACAGTCCTATGGTGAGTTTATTCCTCTCTTATTATCACTGTTATGATAAGCGCTTTGGTCAGTTTGAAGTGATTTGTGTTAGAAAACTGTTCCTTAGACTTGATGGATGGGCCTTCTGTGCAAATTGTAAATGAAATTCCACATCTGAAATAGTTGCACTTAAATGCTGTTATTTCTGTAATGAGTGTCATTCAGCTGGGCTCTGCTGCTACAGATGGCCATTTCCATGTGTGTTTTGGTTATAACATTGTATCCACTGCTGCTGTAAATGAGGAAGTGTGTTCAATCAAAGCTGTTCAATCTCAGCACATTGATCTCTTATATATCACCAGTGGAAGTATCTTCAAATATTTTTTTCTGCAATTTGAACTCCTTATTGGTGTATCTCTCACTTTGTTTAATTGTGGAAAGTATCAATTTAAAAATTGGTTTTCTTAACCTTTCATAATTCCTCATAACCTTCTGTGTTGCCTCTAGGAAAACCTCGTCCATTGTCAATGCCTGCTGATGGAAGCTGGATAGGAGCTGCAGAACGCTTCTCTAGACCACGAGGACTAGGGAGAAAAGGCAAGGTTTTAGGTCTCATCTCTCCTTCACTTCCCTTCTTCTCCAAAATTTCCTTGGGCTGAACTGCATGAAAGTGTTTAAATTAGGAACAGGGGATTATGGTTTGCGTATTGCTGAGTTGATCTAAGGTGACAGTTTGTTGGTTTTAGCCGGAATGCCAGATGGTAGTTGTGAAATTTGTGAGGCTATTCAGTGCTGGAACTCAAACTTTTTCCTGTTGTGGAATTCTTGTGAGCATTAAAAGTAAGCTAGAAAGACTAGGGCAGATCTGTACTTGTCTCTTTATAGACAAGTATAGTTCTTACATACTCCTCTTTCCCTTTCTTCTGCATTTAATATTGATTGTAAAACTAGTTTTTTAATAAGTCTTTCTGTTTGTTTGGCTTACTGTGGAGGCTGTTGTAGAAGCAAGCTTGTTCTCTAATATGTAGGGCCTTTTAGAAGTTGCTTTTTCTGTGACTGCTGTTAGAAAACAACATATTCTGCACACATCACTGAATGGGAGAGAGAAGCTCATAACATTGGGTGTTAGACTGGGTGGCTTTTTTTACTTGCTACACTGTCCTTCTCTTCCCATCCCCTTTTGCATCTGAAGGGCTGTTTGAGTGCTGTTGGAGTGGGAAATGAGGATGACTAGTTTATTCTTGAAATCAGTTATGAAGGCTAACATGTAATGCTATATAAAATAGATGCTGAATTCCATTATTTTAATGCAAGTCCATAAGCAGTATAAACCTGGAGGGATTTTAGAAGCAAGCGAAGTAACAAGTCTAACAGAGCACTCATCAGGTGACAGGGCTGGTTTTTGTGTGTATGTTTTTTGTTTGGTTTTGCTTTTGTTTTTTTGTTGACTTTTTTTAATACTTGAAATGTACCTAAGTGCTGTAGGCCTGTATGTAAGCTGTATTGAATCACATCCAAAGGCCTGCCTAGTCCAGTAGGATGCCTCTAGCAGCAGCTACCACTGTCAGTTGTCTAAGGAAGAGTAAAACCAGAGAAAGCATCACAAATCACTGGTCAAAACCAGAGAGGGAAGTGCTTACATCTTCAACTTCAAATTTAATTTATTTTGTCCAGAATAATATTTGTAGCTTTTAAGTTTACTCATGAGTTACATTGAGAAAAATATGGATTTGACTGTGGTCTCTTCAGCGTTTTGAATAACATGTTACAAGATGGTTTGTTAGGTCTCACCCATGATAATGATTTGCATGAAGGTAGTCCACACTAGCATTTTTGGTGTATGTGAATCTCGCATTCAGTAGTCAAACAGTATCTTCTCTGTGTATGGATTTATTTTCTTGTTATTTGTGTTACTTAAATATTAAAGATGCAAAAAGCTATGAATCTATTGATAGCTGCTTATGTTGAGGTGGGTTATGAAAAATAACCAAAACCTAGGTAATTTGAAGAGTAACCAGAATATTTTTTTTTATAAAAATAGAAAATGTTAATGGAGGGGGTTGAAGTCATCAATAATTGGTTTTCTTCCTCCTGTTTGTACAGGTGAAGATGTCCTTTGCAGGTACTTCAGTAATGAAAGGATACCCCCAATCATTGAAGAAAGCCCCTCCACGCAGCACCCCCTCTCCAGGCCAGTGTCTGACAAGCAGTTAGTGAGGGGGACGGATTATATTCGAGGCAGCAGGTGTTTTATGAATACAGACCTCCACAACAGTGCAACAATTCCTTTTCAAGAGGAAGGTGCTAAAAAATCATCGGTTACATCATCCACAAAACCCTCCTCTGCAGAACCCTCGCTGCTTGTCAGTTGGATCACAAGACTGAAATTGTTGACTCACTGACTATTGTCCACAGCACTGTTACCAAGTGCCTTTGATCATCGGTCAGACTTCTCTAATTTTCAGCTTAACTGATGCGTAGTGACTAATGCGGTATTCTTTTCCTGGAGAACCTTACATTTTTGCCTTTTTGTTTGTGATTTTTGACAGATCAGAGGGTGTCATAGTGCAAGGAGGGAAGAAAGATAAAGATCAAGTTCCTCTTCCTGGCCAAAAGCTGAAGGCATTTATTCCCATGGAAATAAATAGAATTTCAGTGAGATAGAGGCCACACATCACCTGGAATGTGCAAAGCGACTCAGAGGAAAGAACTGTGTTACCGTGAAATCCAGTGGCACTTCAGTTGTCTGAATGCTCAGAGACTGGTGTGAGTGACTGGCTGGGTGTCAGAGTATGCAGAGCTCAGCACACCTTGGGTTATTCGACTGACCAGGAAAGATAAGCAGAGAAACAATGGTTTTGTGCAACTTGAGTGATGCTGTTGCAAGTACTGCATGGGATCAACCTTGTGAGGAAGAAGTAACAGTGTTGCTGTTCTTTCTCTGATATCCAGAGATTCTATGAAGGCTTAGGAAGAGAGTTCTCTTATTCAGAGATTTTAGGAAGCTGGACTAATTTAATTATAAATCAATCCAACCTGATATATAAACTATTTTATTGAAATCACAGTCGAAATAAAGAGCACTGAACAATTCCAGTGCTTGTCTGTAAAGGTATATGGATTGCTACAACATGCCAAGGAAATGCATCTGTAGAGGTGGTAAAAGAATATATATTTTTTCCTTAATTGTTTAAGAATGGTTTGCTGTTAACCAAAGTAACCTGTTAAAGACAGTCCTGTTGGACTTAAGAGAACTTTTACAATGGTTCAGTTTTTGAATGATGTGTTGTTTTTATGAAAAATATGTGCTATCATACACTACAATTGTAAGACATTTGCTATTTTCTATATAGCTCAAATCTTTACCCCTCCAGAATTTTAAAGTAGCAGTGGGTATCTTGGGAGGAAAATAAAACTTGTTTAACAAAAGAGGAGGATATTAAAGAGGTATTGTTCAAAACAGAATGTACATAAGATTGCTAGTATGCAAACTTAAAAAAAGTTTAAAGTAATTTAAGTGTTAAATATAGTTGTATATATTTTTTACACTTAAACAGATACTGTTTTTTCCTTGTTCCTGTATTGCAGTACTGGGCACAGCTTAGTCAAATGAAAAGTTTTTGTATTCCTTGCTAATTATAAGACTAACTATTTTTGTAGATGATACATTGCCAACAACCTTTACTCCTTTGGTCTTGCTGAAAAGAAGGATTTATATTTAATAATTGGTGGGTGAAGAGGGGAGTTAAATACTAATTTTCACTCTGGACTGGGGCAGGAATCACATGTGATAACACGAGTGTTAAAAACGCTGTAATCCTGGCTGTGAACATGTGACCATTCTGTTGCAACAAGCTTATGAAGTTGTGCTGCAGCCCCACAGAGAGAGACACGCTGTTTCAGTTCTCAATTAATTACGTTTGACTGTGGGTAGTGGTTTAGGTGGGGTCTGGTTTGGACCTTTCTGATCAAAGCAGATTATAATATGTCTGTCTTGTGCCACTCTTCTCCACTGCCTGAGATGGCAGTCCCTACTAGAGATGTGACCAAACACTGCTGCAATTGAACCCTAGAACAGTTTGGTTCTGCCTCCAAGAAGAGGGCTGAAACTGCCGTGATGTGGGCACTGGGGTGTAGTATAGTCCAACCTCAAACTGAATGGAACTGTTTTAAAGTAAATCACAGTTGCTGAACTAGATCAAAGATGTTGTCTAAACAAGACTTTTAAAATGGAAATTTTGCGCATCTTCAAGTGTCCTGTTTTCCATAGTTTAAGAGTGCTCTATAGTTTAGGGGTAAAAAAAAGCCCCACAGATCTAGGAGTAAATCAGTTTGAATACAACCAAAATAATCTTTCTGGCATAGCCTGAGAAAAATATAGGCAACAAGTTAGAAACTGCTATTATGCAGAAACTTGGCTCATCTCTTGGTATCGAAGGTACATGTATCCGTTCTGTCAAAAACTATGCCTAGGCTGACTTCCCTAATGAGTACAACATACGTATCCAGATATCCTGCCATGGTACAGCACTCCACAGTACTCTGAATACTCTGTCACAGTGACAGAACAACACAGTTAAATGGAAAAGATCATAAACCCCACAAAAATTGAAAAGAGTATTTAGTACTCTTGCATATATGTATAGTGAGGAATGTACACTTCAGAAATAGTGAACAGGCTTCTATTTTAGTCTGTAGAGTATTTGCAAGCCAATACCTTGAGTGTTCCCTTACATAACCATTGCAAGAAAATAGTATTTCAGATAGTACTGTGCAAGAGGAAATGAGACATCAATATGAATACTAATGGCTTGTAGAGACAGAGTTCAGGGCAATTCTTCAAGCAATGTGTTTCCTCTATTATTATGGATAATTAAATTAATCAGTGTTTGAATTCTGGATGGCCAAAAGAGGTGGACAGACTACTGTATTATACTAATTTTATGCTAATCAATTAACTGATAACCTTTTCTTCCTCATAAGCAGGGCTTGTTTTAAAAACAACGTATTCCACAAGCTGGTTGCTCATTGAACAGGGAAGAAAAAATTAAAATCCGAAACTTAGCCAAATGAGGAAACAGATGGTAAAGACTAGTTTTATAGTTGGAGAGGATAAAGAATTTTTTTCTCTCGTATTTTTTTTGTCCAAATCTTATGACTCGTTTTATTACACTGCCAGCAGACAGCCTTCACAAACTGCTCTGTACCTGCAGCCACATCCTGAAAAGACCAAGTTAACCCCCACATCGGGCTTTAACTTAGACCTTGAGCTCAGACCTCTTTTTACATCCCTGGGAGGTGTTAATTCCCTAGGAGTTTTTCTGCATTCATCAGTCAATTTGGGGAATATCTTACACATGATGGACAGCAGGGCTCTTGTGTGCATGCATATTCAGAAATGCCTTTGCCAGCAGGATTGGTATCTTGGAGGAAGGTGTTTGTTGTTTGTGTTCCTTGTGTTTTCTGCACTTAAATAAGTACTTCTTCTCCCAGCTTCCACCATACATCCTAGTGCACCACCTCAAAGTGTGAGGTAGAAATACTTGTGTTCAACTGGAAAATTGTTGGGTCCTTTGGAGTAACCTAATTTTGTCCTGCTGTACAGTTGTATCTTCTTTCTTCTCTATAGCCTGAGTTTTTCTTCACACATGCTGTGGTGATGGAGCACGTGCTCTTTGAGGCAATCACATATGAATGCTTTTGCATTCGTGTCGCCTTGCAGGATGTGAAGTTTTTATAATGGACAAGAGCTCTCAAGAAAGCCTATGACTTATACTAAAATGTAGAAAGAGCACTCCAAAAAGACTAAGCTTGTAGAATGAAGAAAGAGGGGCTGGGCTAAGCTACATGTATGGGTCATCTGTGTTGTGTTGAACAGTTCCAGCTGCATGGCAGTAACTCTGCAAAGAAAGCAACCCACACAAGTGCAGTACACACGTGCTTCTACTGCTACATTTGTATGATGCTAGAATATGAAACAAAGGCATTCATTCAAAGTAGTTATATATAGTTCCACACATGGTACTTGAGCTGTAATATGTATAACAAAAGCAGTCAAGAGCTGCTGTCAGTATGCAGTTTCACCAAATTCTGCTGCCCATGCTGCTGCTGCTGCTGCATCAGTTTAAAATAGTATGCCCTCTTTATCGTGTTGCCTGCACAATGCAGACCCAGCTCTCTGGTGAGTCCCTAAATATCAGTTTTGTCTTCTTTTGTGATAGTAACTGCTGGTGAGATTGTGTCATTCCCATGGGGCCTCATCCAGTGATCCAAAAGCTTAGTTTGGGTTCCTCTGGACTTAGTCCAAAAGTGGAAGGTCGAATTTTTAAAACAGTATTACTGAACCAGTATTACTTAGAGTTGGGATTTCTTTTTTATACATACTAAATATGAAACAGGGAGGAGCTGTCTGTTGCACATACTTTGCCAGAAGGAGGAAAAATGAGGATTACATACTCAGTGGTGGAAAAAACTCTAGATCTTCGGGTGTCCTCCAGTTGTTGCCAGTGTGAGAAATGTGTTTGTTTTAGCGTGACATAGAATGGATGTAAACATTTCTTTTTAAACCTCCCTGTGTGGCCACCGCAGTTGTTCTGGATGATGGAAGCCACTGACTTTCTCCCTTAATTGGTTATGGAGTTAACCCAATATATTTTTTTGGAGGAGGACAGAGATACCTTTTCTTAGGCAAATACATGGTTGATTACCTGGATATGGAGACTGAATAATTGAGTGTAAAACAACTGCCACAGAGTGCTGATTTATTGGGAGAATCCTTGGAGTCAGTTTAAGACTGTGGTTCCTGTTTGTTCCCTGGACTCTAGTGAGGATGAACATTGACAATGCTTATGTATAGTGGCAGTTTGGCAGCTGGGAAGCAGCCAAAGAAAGAATCAGAGGACAGCCCAGTCCAATTTACTGTGCCATCTTCAGCAAAGTGGGTTAGTTGTTTTGACTTCTTTGTTTTTGATGTTTTGGTTGGTTGCTTGTTTCCTTTCCCCTGTCTCCGTAAATGTGGTTCTCCTTCAGTAAAAGTGGGCCAAAGTAGGAACTGTTGAAATGCACCTGTTGAAAAGATCCTGATGAAGCAGTGGGCTGTGCTTGCTGGTGGGGCCCAGCTGCTGTGTGTTTAGATGTGCTCTGGGAATGCCTTTCCAGGTAATGAGCCTCAGACCTTGTGACCTTTGCTTAGAGACTTTTTTGTTCAAGGCAGTCTAAACTGATATATGTATTTAATGTTTTTTTCCCCCAAGTAATGACGTGTCTCAGTGCTACCTAATAATGTGTTTTCCTCTTCCATCCCCCGTTCACTGTTTTCAGTACAAATGTTTCTTAGGAAATCCTCACATATTTCCAGGGTAAATGTTAGTAATTCCAAGTAGTCACAAATGGGCCTTAATATATTAAACTCTAAAAAAAAACCACAAAAACAAAAACACAAACCCCAAACAAATAAAACCTCAAAACCAAAACACAAGAAGAAAGACTTTTTCTACTTTTTTCTACCTTGTGAATAATAATAAATAATACTTTTTGAATAATAATGAAACTAAGGATTTTCACCCAGGTGAAAGATCAGCCAAACTTTAGTGGCTGCATCTTGGGTGATTTTTTTGATTTTATGACATGATAGTAGGAAGTGAGGGCTGTAGTTCATGTATTGTAGATTCTTGCAGAGCAACTGTGGTGTTTAAATGTGCCTCCACAGAACTTGACCAAAGGCTTTCTTAGGTGTAATGCATCTTTTCCTAAGACTGTCTTCCCCAAGCCCACTGAATGTCCCATTGAATTTGCAGAAGTCTTAATATCGTCTGGCATAGTTCTTGACTATTTTTTTCTGGTGGGAAGTTGGTATGAGTTGCTATAAGTGAGTAGGATGAGAACAAAATACATGATGTCCAAATTAATTATTTCCCTTTCCCTATGTCCTTCTTCCTCTTTGACGTTCTCCTCTGTACCCTAAGGCCAAGGGACTTTCCAGGAATTTATTGCACAAACAAACAGCTATAAATCCTTTTAATATTTATAGCATAATCTAGTTTGTTTTGATGTCTGAGATAGTTTTGGCCAGAGCTTTCCAGTAAAAATAGCACTGTGCACAAGACAGTATTTCCAAGCTCTTTATTCTTTTAAGAATTCCTCTCTGCTTAGTAAACTGTTGGCTTATACTCTGCTTTGAAGCTGCTTAGACCACCCCAAGCAGTCCTTGGCCTTTTAGGTCCAAACACATTGGCTTCGTATCACTGGACAGGAAGAAAAGTCTGGGTTTTTTTCCTTGCTCGGAGTTTTTTAGCTCTGGATTTGCAGGTCCTGTTGGAGGGATGGGTGCAGACCTACCACAGAGGTCTCCTGCCTTTCCCTGCTTGGCCTCTCCTGCTATCTGTGCAGTGGAGGGACAAGAATGCAAGGAGGAATCCAGAAGCTAAAGCAGCAGCCCCTCTCTTCCTTTCTTCTTGCTTAGGAGACAAGCGACAGGCTTCTGATTAACCTCCCAAAATACATGTTTAGAAAAGTTTTGGGTTTGGTAACCGAAGAGATGAGTAATTGTTCAGGTATGTTTTTAGGAGTAATAAAGACAGGAAGTACAAATGTTTAGGATCAGTTGGACCTAATTGTTTCCCACGGGATGCTGCTGTATGGGGCTGGGCATTAACCCTTGAAGCAAGCAGCAGCGGGCCGCTGGTGAGCTCCAGGGCGCCCTCTCCTGCTGTCACTCGAGCAGCTCTCCGGCTTTCTTTCAGGGATGGGCTGGATTTTTACTGTCAGCTTCCTGCTGCCTTGTAGTCAAGTATGGGATTTCTTTCCTCCTGCAGTGTGGCTTTTTTTTTTTTTTTTTTTTTTTTTTTTTTTTTTTTTTTTTTTTTTTTTTTTGTGAGCTGGGAGCCAGGTGAGAGTCACTTCCAATTAGCAGGGAGAGAGGGGAGAGCCTGGTGTGGTGTGTTGGGTCATACACCTGTTTCTCATTCCTTGTGGTCGGATAAGCTGTACTTGATTGCTGTGGCTGTGGTTCCAACAAGCTGTAGGTCAGAACTAGCTTAAGGGTACTCTTGAATAGCAAATGAGTCTGGGACTGGAAAACTAAATAACAAAAACAAAACCAAAACACCCCCCCAAGAAAAAAAAAAACCAACAACAAAGACCAGAATAAAAGGCTAATGTGACAAGATACATGAGTTGTTTTTTGATTTGCAAAGTTTGCATTTTCCTCTGGAAGTGTGGGAACATTGTGAAGGGATGAATGTGTTGCACAGTGTTAACACAGAGGTAGTGTGGTGGAGCCTTTTTTTAAAAACCAATAAGGCTTGGCAGCACACTTGAGCTCCACACTTGACTTCCACAGGGAAGTTTCACCTAGTGCTGCACAGAGAGGCTTTTATTAAAGCAAAGTGGACCAGTAAGCTGGGGCTGTCTGTGACAGGCACTGAGGCAGGACACCCCAAGGTGCTCACTCACAGGTGAATCTGACCACAAGAAATGCATTTGACCTGCTACTGACTGGGGCTGGCTGTGCTTGGAATAGTTGTGGGAAATAAGGCCTCTAGCAGAATGTAGAAGAGGCTCAGGTTTCAGTATCATGACTCACTTTCCCAGTGGTTGACCAAGGAGCAGGGAGTGTGATGGGGAGCTGTGATGAGATGGACTCCTGTTGCTATCAAGAAATGGCAGGGATTGAAAACATACATCACCAGAAATTTGAACCACCCACAGTAGCCAAAGCACATGACACCTCCCACGGGTCACTCCTGCAAATGGGAATTTTTGGTCTAGCTTGCAATGAAATATTTGATGTTTTCAAAAGGTAGAAGATTTTGGGCACCCTCTGGTCTCACTCAGTGTTGGTTGCTCACATAGCTGGCTGTGAGAGGAGACATCTTGTTGAGGACGTGGAAGTCAGTTATAAAATCACAAAAAACATACAAAAGCCATTAGTGGAAGAAGAGTTCTGCTGAAACATGGTTCTCTGGTTGCTTTCCAGTACTCTTGCCTAACTTGCACCCCTAAGACAAAATCTCAGGTAGTACCCTAATGAAAAGTGGCACACTAGGTGACCCCAAAGGCTTACTTCTGTTGTTCAAAGCACCAGGCCAAACAACGTTTTTGTTAATTTCCCTATAGGTCTTGAGTGACTTCCAGTAATGACCAGTCCCTTCAGTCTGTTGCTAACCTTTTCCTTTTGCTCGAGGTACCCTTGCTGAGCACTTTAGAGCAGTTCCTGCATTTGTCACACTTGTGTGCCTGCAGAAGGCAGTGTTGTGTTCAACATGCTTGTGCTGCTTCTATACTTGGGGATAAATTCACATTTCTCCTGCTAAGTTAACAGGGCTTGTCTGTCAGGAGGTTCTGTCCAATGCAGCACTAAGTCTGATCCTTCTTTCTACTTTTTGTGTCAAATCTGATTGGTTTATAAGAGCTGTTTCTGATTTATGACTGAAGGGGTGAAATGAAAATAGGATCTTGTTGGTGAAGAGGATTCAAGTGAACATTTGAACAAATGAGTAAAGGCTGAGGAAATTAGCAAGTAAAACTAGGCACTAATTCTTTATCTTTGAGCAATGTTAAACATAAAATACACCAAGGAAATGTTGGTGTTTTTCATTTTGAGAGTTTTTTTATCTCAGCCTGCTCACTGGAAACTTTTAATATTACTCTCCTACAAGATTCCAGACAATGAGCTGCAGGTAACTGTGGGACACTTACGATCAAGCTGCTGCTTTTTGTGCTGTTGTATTTTGGGAGAGCGGACTTCTTGCAACATCTAGCTTTTCTGTTCCTTCCCAGCCCTCTCACTCTAAAACCAGTGCACTTCAAGTCAGGTGGCTTTCAAAATTATGAACTTGTCACTAGATCCTCTTTTCACTGTCCTGTTGGGTACAACTTTTGAGAACAATATAAAATGGATTTTTAAAGGCGCAGATGCTGCAGTACGTAAGCTCTGGGAGATGTAACCTCTACAGGTTTGAGAACTGGAGCCATTGTAAGGTAACAGATATACTGCTTTATTTAAGATGAAAAGTTGCTCTTCAAGTAGAAATTGGGTTTTGTACTTGGACTATTAAATACAGAAATGCACAAAGCACCATTTGTGTGCCACTTAGTAAAGTTCACGTGGAAAAGCTGAATCATCCAAGCCATCTGACTGATGCACACTATTCAGTAGTTGTTTTCTTCAGCAGACAGCTGGTGATCTCTCTTCCTGTATACAGGGCTTGGGTGGGGGAGGAAAAGGAAAGAGGAGTCTCTGGGCGGGGAGACCTATTGGTTCGTATGTGCAAACTTTATGATTTTCCTGAGAGATCTCTAAATCTGTGGTAAGTTAAAACTATATTTAGAGAATTGAAGAGTCAATATATGTTGCAACTCTGTTATAAAGTGTTTTATTTTAAAATAATAATGCTTTATACATTTTTTAGGCATGATTTGCTTGTTATATTTGAAGCAGTGCTTCAAGGAGAAGACGCGGGTGTTGTCCTAGGGCTGGGGATTGTTCAGACTGCATGGCTTCTTTGCCTCCTGCTTCCCTCTTGAAATCAGGAGGATAACTGTGAGATTTGGTGCCTCAGTCACCAGCCAGAAAATGGTAACTCAATTTGTCTCTTGTGCTGCCCATGTTATAAACTTCTTAATACCCAATCTACATGTTTATCTACTGAAGCTCAGTGGTAGTGAAGGGTTATATGCTGGAAAAACTCCCAACTAATGAGACAGACAGGTGACAGAGTTTGGGGGAAACAGTAGTTTTGCAGACACCCCCACACATACTCCATGCAGCTACATCTTTATTTTCCACATGTAGGATGCATCTTTTTCTGTGGGATATTTTGTTTATATTGACACTGGTGAAGAAGTGGATTTTTTATGATCTGTCCCTTTATTACAGTCTGTCTTTTACCTACTTAGATTATAAGAAAGGTCTTTTTTGTAGCAAGCACATCTCTCAGCTGTAACTTCCTGAGCATGCTGGGTCAGGGACTTAATTGGCTTCTATTGTATTTAATAGTGCAGTTCAAAGGGTCTAAGGAGCAGCAGAATGGAAAAAGCAGTGCAGAGAGGCCAACAAGATCTGAGCAAAGCCTGACTTTTCTTTCTTTGTGTTTCCCACCACCCCCCCCAACTGAAGAGGGACACAACTAGCAGGCATTCAGATTTTATTTTGAGTGTATACCAAACTCTGTGATTGCATGAGAAATGAACTGCTTGGGAACAGATGGCAAATAACTTGAGTTTCTAACCAGTGCAGGAGAGATTAAAAAAAAAAGGGGGCAGGGCTCTTGTTCTCAGCAGATTCTTCAAGAGAGCCTCTCATTGTCTCTGCTAGGGGAGCACTTCCATTCCTTTTGGTGACTGTCACTTCAGTACTGGCAGTGCCTGTAATAACCTGAAGTACAGGTAGTTCCAACTGGGGGAAAGAGCCCCCTTGCTTAGAAAACATTGGCCTTTGAGGAAATATTAAATCAAATTATGTTTCATAGTCATAAGAAAATGGTGACTGCGTTGGTGTCTTTAGAACAAACATTCAAGATATGTGTAAGAAATTTGTAGGACCAATTTTTATAGGATAAGAGACAGTAGGCTTAAATTACATCAGAGAGCTTGAATTTGGTCAAAAAAACTAATATCAAGGAGAGTTAAGCACTGCTTTGAGATGCTGAAGGGAACTGTGGAACTTTCATTATTTGATGTCTCTAAGAACAGGTTAGGCAGCCTCTATAAAGAATAGCCCAAGTATAATTGATCCTGCTGGGAGGAGCAGACTTAATGATCTCTTGATGTCTCTTTACATCTTTGCAGAGATGTGAGTAGGCCATATGTAATTGCATCCTGGTAGAGTTCATCAAGAGCTTTCAGGCCCTTCTGGATAAAAGCCACCATACACACTTCACTATAAATGTAGTGAAGTTTTGATGTTTAAAGGAGATTGAAGCAATCGAATGCATGAAAAGATTCAGTTCAGTGACACCACACAGGAAAAAAGGATAGGGAGCAGTAACATACAGAATCATTAATTTTGCAGTTTTGTAGTTATCTGGAATAAAATCATCATCTCCAATTATGATTGTCATTCCTTCAGTTGAGGTACTTGCAGAACACTGGAAAAACGTAGCTATTTATTTTGAAGAACTATGGGGTTTTTCCTCTTAATAAAAGGAAATTATTAGGGATGCCACTACACTTCTGAGTCTTTAAGGGAAAGCACTTTGATAGATCTAAAAGATAGTTTAGCCTTTGAAAATGAAAACAACTGATCTATAATATCTGCTCTTTCATACTGCTTCCTTTGAGATGATAGGGTTGAAAGACACATCCCCACACCCTTGCCATTTCTAATACAATCCTTAATTTTTAAAAAGGAATGTAACTTACGGACAGGCAAGTTAGTTCTGTGCTTTTGGAAGTAGCTTGTTTCTGTACAAACGTTTCCTGTTAAACTGTGAAGCAAAAGAGTACCCACCTTCATCTTCTTTCAACCCATGGGTGTTCCGGGTATATGAACTTTGTGGAAAGGCACACAAAGGGCATTATACTGAGTAATTAATTTCTCACACAGTGTAATTCGTCAGTGTCCAGAGTCTTGAGAAAGCAGCACCAGATGCCCTGAATATTTTGGCATTCAAGTCTGTAGAAAGCTCCAAAGAGGAGGAAGTGAAAGAATGGTGGCAAGTCTTTTGCAAGCAGTTTTGGGGATGTGGGACTTCATTTGCACATGAGTGCGACAGCTCTCTTCAACAAAAAGCATAGTGGGAAGTGGGATAGACTGTGTCTCTTCTACCACTCACAGGACTGAGCCATCTGCTTTTCCATGTCCTCATGGAACAGTGTCTACTCTGGTATCTTTATCTCTCCTGTGGACTATTTATTCTTTCCATAAGTAACACATATGCTTCTTCAGACCTGTCACTATTGCCCTCACTGCAATTAAATTACACTACACATGAAACCAATAGTTATTTTAGGAAGCAATAGCTGAGTCTGTGCATCAGATTTCAAAATATATTCTTGGCAAGTTTTCAGATAATCCATTTATATGCAGTTATAGTGCTTTGAAGATATAAAGTGCCACGTTACTGATAAGTACTGATTACTCATTCAAATAAATGGAAATATTTTAATCAGGGCATTTTCAACATGACTTGTACTGTGAAAAAGAGCCTATATAAGCATATTAAATAGGTAATTTATTAGTGAGAACAACCTGTGATTAAGGGCGTTGTGTTTTAATTTTTGGGGAGAATAATATACATAAAAAGCAAAGTAGCAATGCAAGAGAGTAGCAACCTGATAAGCTAAAAACCAATCACTAATAACCTTTGTTTTTCAAAGTATACATAAAGCTACAAATGAGATGTTTGTGTCTCTTCATGCCTGCTTGAACCACAGTATAATTTTGAGTAAGATGGGGATGCTTAAATATGTACTGCCTGAAATGTGGCAGCCTTTCCAGTTGGTCACTTTTAGAGTCTACCTACATGTCCTATGGGGCTAGAGTAGCTTTGCTCTAGAATTTGTCATCAGTTTTCTGCCAGGATCCTTCCTTCTCCTTCTTGCAGTAATTTTTTTTAAATTATTATTATTTTTATGATCTGCTAGCACTCTGGCTGGGAGTGACAGCAAGTGACTGGGTTGTTTGCCAAGAGGCTTTCTGGTGTCATACAGGAGGTGTGTGAAGTGTTGCAAGGTCATTCTGTATCTACCTGACTTTTGTATGTGTGTGCCATTATATGTACAGTGAGTAGAAATAGAGACCAGGATTAAGGTACAGTGTTATGCTATATTTGTTCAGGAAGGCTTCTGAGAATTATAACCAGATCTTTCATGGTTTTGAATGCGGTTGAACACTACACTGTTGCTTACCTTGGAAAGCAGGATTGGATGCCTCTGTGATGAGGAATGGAGCAGAATATCAGACTTGTTGATATGTGTGTTTATCACCCTTGACAATATACTTGGGCAGCATAAGTGGTGAATGTTTGATGGACTATGGGAATACATCCATGAAATGATTCCTTGTCTCTTTGTTTTTAGTGCCAGGACTTGTTTATAGTGGAGTGTGCCAAAGTTTACCTCCAATTAAAAATGAGGAGAAGCAACAGTTTACCCCATGGTAAACATTACTGTCTGCCAGTTAGTCACAACACCCACAGCCTTTTTAATTGATGAATAAAATGCAAAGGTGTAATGTAACTGGATTTTCCAGTCTGATTTCCTAGTTTCATTAGAATTTGCCTGAGCTTTATAGAAGTATGTAAGTATTTACATGTGTATATGTCTGAGTATATGTATATACTCATGTATTGAATTCTGTTTAAACTACTCATATAATATTCATCAGATATGTAATGGCACAGCTTGTCAGCTCTGTCTTTCAGAGTCACTATTTCACCTTTGCTGAAAACTTTCTCAAAGAGATTAGACTCAGAAACTCTAGTCAAGGCACACGAGTCTGCTGTTACCATATTTCCCTGTCCACACACCAAGTCCTCTTACAAAGCAGGTAAAACCAGGCACAAGTGAAAGCTTTAGTGATGCAGGTTGTGTGTAACTTGTCCCTTTATGCTTATATAAGAGGTATGTTTCTCTTGTGTTTTTTTTTTCTTTAAACTGAGAATATACAATAATAAATTTTTACAGTCATTGAAGTTATAATGCCTATTGAGTAGGTATTTAATTCTTTTCATGTTTGTCTACACAAAGTTCAATGCAAAACCTATTTTTGATCATTGCTCTTCTCTTTCTAGTGTAAGGGTTACACTCAAAGTGCAGCTGTATCTGTCTGCCTTTTTAAAGAGGTCAAATTGACATTTAGAGTTGTGCTTTGAAAAAACTGCTGTGACTTCATGACCTTTCTAAAACTGGTATTCTCTGCCTTTTAAATAGAGACTTTCACTTGAAGGAATTTACAACAGATTTTCTTCTCAATCCTTCACACTTAAATCCTGGCCTCATTCCAGAGTGTAGAAACTAGATTTGTAATTGCCTTATTTACAAGATAGGGTTTTCCCATCTCTTTGTTTGCTTAACTTGACAGATTGTAGACCATCAGGCGCCAGTTAACCTTCTTAAAAAAAAAAGTGTTATTTCAATTCCTTTTTTAATAAGGATCCATTTTTTCTCCTGTGAAACTATAATCAGAATAGAACAGAAAAAGTGGATTATTCTGAATTGAATTTGTAATACCAGAGGATTGTAGTTCACAGCAAAGAAAAAGGTATCCTGAGCCAGACAAAGTTTGATGCCTGCAGGGTCCATCCACACAGCGCTATCATTATGTGATGTGAAAGCAGGCACAGTGTGGTACCACCACTGAATCTCCCTCCTCCAAGATTGGCACCAAGTGACTTCCCAGCATTGGTACCTGGTGGCATTTTCATCTGTGGTACTGGTCAGAAGGTCTGTACGGGAAAGGTCTTTCTGTTGGATGCAATACTGCTTGGTGTGTGCCTGATAGAGCCTCCTTGCCCTTTCCCCTCCACAGAGGTACAGCTGGAGAGGTCTAGTGCTTTTCTGCAAACTGCAGCATCTTTTGTTGGAAACCCTGACAGGTCCTACATCAGTCTCTGCTGGTTCTGGCCCAGATGGATA